ATTTCCTTGATCACTTTATGGGTAGTTGAAGTAGGTGACTGGGCAGTTTCTTGTACTCAATCGCTTAAATGGAAGGCATACTAGTGAAAAAGCTAAGAATTTGGTCAACTAGAACAGTGTAACTGACCTAAAATAGGACTCAAAGTGGGTAAAATAGCCAATGCATAAATATCACTAATGCAGCAAAATTCGTCAATTTTCCATCAAGTTTCGTACTTTTTGTTTTATTACCTCAGAAAATGATTCTCTACCATTTCATAAGAAAAAATAAAAATTTTTGTTGAAAATTCTTGGATTCTGTGGACAATTCTCAGACTGGAGGTCTGGACCCTCAGAGAGTTAAGATGAGGCAGAAAGTACAGGCAACAAAGGGGATGTTGGTCTGTATGTCACAGAATTGCTTATTTGCTCAGAAATACTAAACACACTAAATGATGTAGTTAGAGTTTTGGCAGTAAAGACTGGGAACCAAAACCTAGTCATTGTGATAGTAATATAGTAATACTGTATCTTTATTTCTGCAAGTACATGTACAAGGTATACAGGCGTAGCTGATATCAATGACATACTACTATATACAAAGCCACTTGTTATGCAGAGCATTTCGGGCAAATTAGGTCAGCTTTGTCCCAGGATGCGACCCACACCAGTAGACTAACTCCAAGGCACCTATTTTACTGATGGGGAACACAGACAACATGTGTAAAGAAAAATGTCCAATGTTTCTAATCTTGCTGGAAATCGAGCCTGGACCCTCGCCGTGTGAAGCGGGAGCTTTAGCCACCAGGCTAAAGGTTGTGGTTACGTATAAGCCACCGACTGCAACTCTCCAATAATTCAAAGAACAGCTTCTGAAAATTGACTGGAAAATCTTCTAACCACAGCCCCAAATATCTTGTTGCTTGGTGATCTCAATTTAAGATATTTAAAATAGTAGAATGTAGCAAATGTTATAACGTAGAAAACCCCTGGAGGCAACTCAGATGAAAATTCCCACACACATGCTTCTGATATAACTTTGATGAGTTTTGAGAGTCTTTCGACTCCCAGAGCCTGGCCACGGGCCAGGCTTGTTTGGTGCTAACATGGTCAATCAAGCTGTTGTTGCTGGAGGCCAATTGTCTCACATATCCATCACAGCCTGTTTGACCCAACATTTGGTGAAGATACTTGCCCAGTTTTCTCTTGATGATGTCTACACATGTGGTGACCTGTACCTTGCTCAGAGAAGACGTGTCTAGTGTGCTCTCTCTGGACTGAACCAAGTCAGTGGTGACCTGTACCTTGCTCAGTGAAAGCATGTCTAGTGTACTCTCTGGGGACTGAACCAAGATACAGTCCACTAAGCAACTTTACCAGCAGCATAAGGAGGAACTAAGGGTTGCTAAGCTTGAGATATGGCGATTGACGGAGGAAAACAAGAGGATTCGTAGTATTCCTCCTCTTGTGAGTCCTCAGGTCAAGAAAGGAACGTGGGCAGTAGCCAGACAGAATGGAACGAAGTTGAAGATCAAGAGGACAAATGGAGAGGTAGAAATGATGAAGCAAGAGACTGCTGTGTAAACTTCGAACTCTTTCTCTGTGCTACCAGATGAATCTAAGTCGACTACTGGGAACGACACAATAAAGAACAACAAGGAAGGTAAGAATATTGTGCTTGTTGGGGACAGTCAGTTTAGGTACATGGATAGAGCCTTCTGCATGAAGGATAGGAGTAGGAGACAAAAGGTGTGTTTCCCTGGGGCTGGGATAGAGGATATTGTTAGCTGGCTTGACATCATCATGTATAGCAATGGGATCAGTCCTATTATTTGCCTCAATGCTGAAGGTAATGATGTAGACAAGCACAGAAGTGAGGATTTAGAAGGTATAGGGCAGCAATAAACATTATTAGGAAGAAGGGAGGGAGCCCAGTTACATGTGGCATTTTGCCATGAAGGGGTTTTGGAAATGAATGGCTGTCCAGAG